CTAATCAGCTATTTCCAAACTATAAACCAGTTTTACTTTGCTGGATGTCTATTCTCTGCCAAGAACAGACGATATGATAGAAATAGCCAAAAATGTTCTATTTAGTACTCTGGACCTTAAAAGTGCACTCATAGGGTCCATATGATCAAAATCAGAATCCTCCCCTACTTATTAGAGGATATGAAAGAAATTACCAACTCATGTAAGACTTGTGCTGAAAAGAAACCTAGGTTTTACCATCCTAACACCAGCAAGGTCATGAAAGCCACACAATCCTATAAAAGAATAACATTATATTTTAAAGGTCTGCTTCCGTCAAAAACTTTTAACAAATATATGCTGACAATAATATTCAGTTTCCTTTTGTGATACCATGCCCAGATGTATTCTCTACAACTTTCATACAAGCACTTTGCTCAGTTTTTGCCATCTTCGGGCTACCTGCATATATTCCTTCAGACAGAGGGCTTTATTTATGTCTGAACATGTATGGTGATTCCTACAAGAGCAAGGAGTAGCCATGAGTAGAAAAATCATGTGTGAGAGGTGTAATGGAATAATTTGGAAAACTGTTCAACTAGCAGCTGCTGATAAAGGAGTAGCTTTGGAAAATTGGGAACAATTATTCCCAAAGGCCCTGCATCCAATTAGAATGCCATTAGGCATAGCCACTAGTGCAACACCCCATGAATTATTCCTCCTGTTTACTACAAGAGATGGAGTGTCTCTAACATCTTGGTCTTGAAACCAGGAGTGATATTACTAAAAAGACACGCGCAATGTAAAAAAAAAAAAAAAAAAATGAACCAATGGTGGAGCTTCTAGATTCCAACTCCCAGTACGTGTGTGTCCGTTACCCTGATGGACCAGAAGATGAACTCACTAAGAGACTTGGCTCCAATGGGATGAATTGGGACCAACAAGTTGAAGTGAAGGCTGTCCTCAGGATAGAAGTGTTTAAAATCTACCAACAATTCATAAATAATGGACTATTCCATTTTGATCAAGCAGAAAGACATATCAGAGACTCTTAGTTTCAGTGAGAAAAAGGAAGAAAGGAAGGAAGATAGAAGTGTTTAATATCTGTTTCAGTGAAATGGGAGAAGTCATCAATTTCAAATCTTTTCATTTGTACCTCCCTTACTTCTTTAAATAAGGGCCTGCATTTCTTTTTAAGATTGTTATTGCAATATTTTGTTACAGTTGTTAAGCTTAACTGATTGTCAAGAAACAGAAACATGGTCTCTTTTTGAAGATTACAAGAGACGATTGAGCTCTGGCCCCTCGAGTGGTAACAAATGGCTTTCACAGAAGAGAGCCCACCCCCTTACTGATACTTCAGAGGATGAACAAAATTACACGAACGCAGAAGGATTAAATCCAGTTCTAGCAAAAAAGAGGAAGAACCTCAATGCTCCTGACAATCTGTCACAGTCTTGTAGACAACAAAGGATGCCTGTTCAATTCAAAGACTTCTTCCCTCTGTAAGAAGGAGACCAGTATGTGGTATAATCCATTTCTCCCATTAATGGATCTGTCCTGACCACATATTCAGGAGAACTCTGCTTATATGCAGCAACTTGCTAGTATATTTTTGGTATTCTGATCATCACACTGAAAAGATGTACAAACAAACGGTTGAGGGTGTGAACACTTTCAACCTTTTATACTCCATGATTAGTCATAATACCTGTGGCCCTGTCTTGACTATTTAGTTAAAACCCCTCCATACGTCACTTCCCACATCCTGGTATTAGCAGCCTAAGTATCCAAAAGGTGAAAGGTTACTAGCTAACAAACTGCCGTACAATTTTTCTTAAATCTGAAGATGTCCTAAAAGGCTGTCCTGCAAATCAAATCCTAAAGTGTAAGAAATTAAATGAACTGTTTCGAAATGGACAAAGTCTGACTATTATTTTAAGACATTTTTACGTTTATACATTCTTTTTATAGATACAAATATTTAAGTAAATGCTTCGTTTATAATAAACAGTATTAAACAACATTTACCAGCCTGAATGTCCGAGAAATTTTCATAGAAAATATTCGTCCTCCGACAAGAAATCAAACCTGTATCCTATATGGAACCGTCATATAGCCTGACATACCTTTAACTGATTGAGCCACAGAGGAGCATTTGGTTAGCAAGATTGTAGTTTAAAGACAGTAAAATCGACCTTGCTAACGTTAGCTACACACACACACACACTTATGCAGATGATTCATAACACTGGATAATGCACTCAGGTCCATTCAGCATAGTTACAGTATAAAAAACACAGGTGGGATCTATATTTATTGAATAAATGTACCTGAGCAGAGATTGACTGATGACCCTAGTAGACAAGCATACTCAAATGAGTGGTCAAGCATTGCATTATATATATATATATATATATATATATATATATATATATATATAAAAAATTAAACATTAGGCAGCATATAATTTATATACAAAGAAATAATCACACATAGAATCAATCAGCAATATTAATGCTATTATTGGTGACATCCATCGCTAGTAGTGTATAATAGATCAACAATATTTTAATGCATACATTATACACTACTAGCGATGGATGTCGCTAATAATAGCATTAATATTGCTGATTGATTCTATGTCATATATATATATATATATATATATGTTTCTGTATGTATGATTCCATTCAAAAACATCTGAAAAAAAATGATTTTTTTTTTTTTTTTTTACACTATCTATATACACTCTCTCATTTCCTCTCATCATATCACACTAGCTCTTGGATGACATTCACTCACTGATCAGTGTTTGAACTTTTATACTGAAGAATATACAATATCATATACAAAATATAGTTAAAATACATCACCCACTCATAGAACTATTCTTATATATAAGAAATAGTGTTCTTACCATACTTCTTAGCCACAACAGCATACAATGATTTTTCTTTTATGAAAGTAAAAAAAAAAAAAAAAAAAAAAAAAAAAAAAATCTTTTCAATTGCTTTGCAGCTTCTCTTCAGAAACTGAATTACTAAGTCTTGTATTTTGGGTCCATTATTTTTATTTGTTTTTAATTTTGGGGGTTAATAAAAAAGCACTCTCAACCCTACCCACCAAAAACACGATGAAAGAAAACAAAAGCACGAAAAAAGAAAACAAAAACAAACAAAATGAGCAGAACTATCAAACCACTAAAATTTTAGATGGTAAAGTGATGGATAAAGGCAGGCCACTGTATGTGTGATATATACTTATATTGAATGTTACATGTCTTCCAGTATTTTTAAAAATTTGTTTTTGTTTAGAGTTATCTCCCCTTTTGTTTTGGGAACAAAGACATGACAGTAAGAAAGTGTTTTAAAATGGTGCCAGAGCTGTGAGGTGAAAAGATTGACTCCATAAAAGAATGTCTTATGGCCATATCACATTGAAACATCAGTTCTCATGTGATCACTGAAGTTAAGCAACATCAAATCATGGCCAGTACCTAGATGGGTGACTGCTTGGAAATACCATGTACTGTACACTTTGATGTGTGGCTGGGGTAATGGATCACAGCCTGGAATTGGAAATTGGAGAGCCTGGAATTGGAAATTGGAGAGCCAAGAAAAAGACCTGCTGTGGTAATGGGAGACATCTTGTGGGAGCAGGTGGGAGAGATAACGACTTGTCATGGAAAGAGTGTTGCAAACAGCAAAGAATCAAATCAGCCTATAGTACTGAACAGAATGCACCCTTGAAAACAAAGTGGAGGGGGGAGGGGGTGCATGACCTCTAACCATTGGCATACATCTCCAAAACATCTGCACAATCTTAACGGCTCCAAGTGGATCATGGCAGAAGATACTGTATGAAGCAAATGGTACATTTAATATAAAAAAAAAACCCAAAAAACAAACAACCCCATCATATAAATCCTACTTACCCTGCGTAAGAGATGGATAAAGTTTCAAGTCGTTAAAAGCATCCCGGACACTGTTTAATGGAACACAATCTCCTTTTGTGTATTTCTGATATACTGACCATAATTTTCTGCAAAGAAAAAAAGGAAAAGGTTATTGGTTTTATCAAAATATTTTGTTCTATACAGCAGGGGTCACCAAACTACGACCAACGGGCTGGATCCGGACCTAGATGTTGGTTCATCCAGCCCACCACTTCACTTTGCCACAAATGAGCTAAAACATAATTATTTATATGAGGTTATCAATAGATTCCAGTTAAACTTACTATGTAGAAAAATTCAAAATAAATTTAAGTAAAATGCCAAAATTTGGCCAATCTGATTTTTGCATCTGACAGTAATATAAGTTTTACGAAAAAAAATCAGTAAAATAAAAAATTTAGCGACTTGATATCTGTGCATTTTTGTTTAAATGCCTGCAATGAAATTTCTAAGAAAAGTGGTTACAAGTCTGCTGCAGCAATTATTGCATTACTGTTTTTAAATCAGTTTGGAAAGTGCTGTATATAAAAAGAATTAACTTTGGTGAATAATGTTAGATATTTTGCCTGAACTTATGCAATCTAAAGCATGTAAAATCAGCATAAGTAATGAGGTTGACTGATGAACATTTGAAAGCATTTCCCTTGATTGAATGCAGCAATTCCAAAACAAATATTAATTATATTTTACAAAAGGTAAATGCCAGTTTCACAAATCTCACTAACCTTTTGTGCTGCTTAGATTCGGATACGTGTGCACTTGGTGTGATAACTATTTTATTGCTATTGTCGCCTTCTTGGATAACTTTTTAATCAATAAGTATGTTTGTTGTCGTTTTGTACATTCAAAGCATATTGTATTGAACAAAATAGTTATCCAGTCTATGCTTGTCATTCTCTCAGTGAAAAAAGTTTGGTGACCCTTGCTATACAGGATGGGTAAATTGTTGCCTTTATGTGTTTTTAATTTTGCACATGTACATTGTTTTTGGTTGACTACACAGTATAGTAGGGTCTGTTGGGCACTGTCTGTGAGAAAAAGATCACTACGATCCAATTCACTG